GCGCGCCTGCCGTGGCGCGCCGCCGCGTGGCCGGGGCAGCTGGGGGGTGACGCGGTGTGATGTGACGCAATGTGATGTGATATGATGTGACGCGGCGCGACGTGACGCTATGCTCTTCTGTCGCGCAGGTGGACGCTCCGCAACTCCCGAGGCGAGTGAGGGGGCCCGGGCGCAGGCGGCGGTGGCGGGGCCGCTGCCCTGCTGCAGGAGGAGGAGGAGGAGGAGGAGGAGGAGAGGGGCTCCCGCCGCCCCCGCCGGGCGCGGGCGGCCCTGCCAGCCCAGTGCAGCCCAGCGGGGGCTCCTGCCGTGGGAGAGCAGTGCGCAGGGGCTGCCGGGGCAGCTGAAGGGCAGAAGTGTGGCCCTAAGAATGAGGGCAGACCTTCCCTTTTTCTCCACTTTCCCCTGTGCTGCCCCCACAAAATTGTGCCAGGGTGTGCTTTGGGGCTGCTGGCAGAAATGGCAGACTTGCTAGATGGCAGGGTCCAGGTGTTTGCTCAGGGGTTTAGGGAGAGGTGCTCGAGTCCGGCTCTGGCAGCAGGAAGTAATAAGGCAGATGCAGGAGCGTGCTTCTTATTAGGTCTCAAATTTAACTCAAAGTGTTTTGTCATCCCAGGCTGAGATGCTGTCATCTTCTTGCACTTAGAATGGGCAAAGAGCTTTACAAGGCTTTGGTGTCACTGATCTGGCAAAAAAGTGTGCCTGCACGGAGCTCCTTGCAGAATCGTGACCCTCCGTTGTTAAAGATTTTTAGGAACGAATTGCATTTTTCTGGCAAAATTTACTATTACATACTGTGTAAACTTATGCTGTGCATAAATTTAGCATGAATTGTGCTCAGAACACAATTCCTCTTGTGTTCTGGTTGTATCTGAAACATACAATAAAAATATCTCTACCTAGATAATGTTAAAATAGAAACATGCAATGTTAATGTTTGCCTATAAAACAATTATTTCACGTTTTACTCTCTTTTACCTTTATTCATCTGTAGATAATGCATGTGGATTAGAAAGGATATGTCCTTACTGCTTCCAGTTCCTGGTTCCTGATAGCTACCGGGTGCGTCTCAAGCCAAAGATGAAAGTGACTCCACAGATAGAGAAAATTCTTAAACGAGAGGCGAAGAACCATAAACTTAATATGAAACAGATTAAGCTTTTGAAAAAGTACAGGGAGTCAAGAAGTGTTCTGGTAAGGATATTGGAACTGCCAAATACCTGATATTTCCTTGAAACCTTTCAGTGGCATAAAAAAGAAGATGTGGAAATCCTTCTCTTAGAAGTGGAGCTCACACCTACACATTTCTTTTTTTCATGAGCATATAACTCCTCTTTTCTTTTGGGATAACTTGTATTCACAACCAAAACTTTTAAAATCTACCCTCCGCAATAGAGAGATCATGAGCACAATGACAAGAACAGTAAGCTGCCCCCGGCAAAAAACCCCCGATGCTATGTGTCAGAGAAGCTACACAAACAGCTCTCCCCTTCCTGTCCTCTCTTTAGCAGCAGTCTGGATAGACTTTGCAGATGTCTAAGATCTTGCTGAAAATTAAGTAATTTCTTCCTGCCAGGAAGCTCTGGCATTTCCACTGTCAGCTACTGTATCATTTGCATAACTTTGCAAAAATGGCAGGAGTGGCAGATTTTTGCTTGTTCCTTTTTGCGTATGAATGTGGTAGAACTAGGACCAGGCAACTCTACTAGATGCAGAAGCTTAATGCAGCCATGTAGATCCTAAAATCCATTAGAATCCTTAGAAATCCATTGCTAAGGATACCCCAAAACATACCTAAGAAGAAAGACATGCCATTGACTGAAGTCAGGCTGGTTTTGCCGGTATGCATAGCTTGACATTTACTGCCTTTGTTTCAGCTGTGAAGAAGGGCTTGAGTGACTGATACATTGTCAGTTTTTTCAGTTGTCCAAAAACTAAAACTAAACTACAGAGGTAATTTAAACAAGTTAATGTTGCTTTTGGGGCTTCTGTTCTTTTTCCTAAAATTACTTGGGAATATGAGATTTAAGCACTATTTTTCATAGTAATTACTATTATTTGAAGAACAACAGTATACGTTTAATCTAATGTTGCCAAGGCATGCACTGCTATTAAAACAGGTTATGTGAATGGATGTTTTAATAAATGAGACAGCACCCTATTGTGCCCAGCAGTTGCTGGCACACTCGGCATTTTCTCAGATGAGAGTCTGCTGGTTTGGGGAGTAAAACTTACGAAAGCAAAAACTATTAAAGAGTCAATAACACAAAATTAAACTGAGGAAATAGGACAAGAGGTTCTCAGCTGTCAGGGCATAAAAAGGTGCTCCAGAAAGGCACCCTTGCTATTACTCTCTCCGAATTGTAGATCATAGTTGAGCAGCAGAAAGGGCATCTGAGAAGTTGGAATGTTTGCTTTGTTCCTCTGGGATCATAAACCTTTAGCATACATTAAGAACTGTCTCTTTAGACAACTGATGAACAGTGTCCTGTGGAATTCTGTTGGGTTCTTGGATTTATTCTGTAGCTGGAGAGGTTCGTAGGACACACTGTGTATTCATATGAGTAGTTTAAAATTCAGTTTTAAATAGGTCCAGTTTAAACTCTGGATAATATTCTAATCTTGGGATGTAATTACAGTTTGCTGCACTGGTGTTCTGCTCAGTTCTGTTTGCATTTGTGCTGTGGATTATGATTTAAGTATTTCTGGTCTTAAGTATTTAAAATACTGTCAGCAACTGACAGCTTTCAAAATTAGCAATGTAGATCCCTATAATCTCATACCTGAGACTTGTGAAAATGAAAATTCGAGTGTGGTTGAAAATTAAACCAAGCAACAATATGACAGGTTGTGCCTCTGATACCTTTCTTAGCAAGTAGAACTTGATTTGAGAACGCTTCTGCCACAAAAAGGCATATAACATTATGAACTATTTCAGGGCTTTTAAAATTTTTTTAGTTAACTGTATATGCAATTCAGGGAATGGAAACTAGCTGTGCAGTGCTATGATTAATCTGCTAATTCTTGCACTGTAAGGTGTTCACCTCCATTTATATTCCGTGGAGTGCTAAATCATCATGCAATGCTGTTTGTTTTTTTTTTTTCCCCATCTGAATTTCATTTAGGAGAACTAAAAATACATCAATACCTGGACTGTATAAGTAATGATCTTTCTCTTTTTTAGTTTGTTAGGCTGACAAAATAATGTCTAGAGACAGTCAAAGCACTTAACTGAAAACGTTTCATTTCGGCATTTCTAAATGTAATTCTTCCTAAGCAATCTGAATTTAGGTAAATTTATAGACTTTGAAATGAAGAATGATTGGGTATGGATGTTTTCAAAACTGCCTAGGCTTTTTTGTGACATTCTGAGTGTGTTTTTTAACCAGAAACATCGCGTAACTGTGTTTTTTCAGTCAGTGTAATTGTGTGCCTGGAAAAGTTGTCTGGCTGTATTACTCTCATGTCTCTTAATCGGGGCAGTTGCCATGGCAGTCAGGGATGTTAGGAGTATCTGCCTGCCTCTGTGACATTATCTGTTCTGATGCACCTCTGCAACATACTGTGCTGCTGGAAGTTCCCTGCAGCCTAGAAGTAAACAGAAGAGAAAGTGCCCTTTGTTTAGAACTTCCTCCCTATGGTAGTAACTATTTTTGCACTAAAAGAAAGCCTCTTCTTTGTTCACTAAGACTTGCTGTTATTAGTTATGAACGACTATTTTTGAGAGCTTGGTAATTTAAATATTTTATTTCAAGGCTCCCTGGAAAGTGTGTAATATAACTTCATTGGGGTAGAATATGCTAATGAATTTAGATCACGCTGTATGTCGTGTTTTTTAGCAAAATACGAATACCTGTTCTGTATACTCAAGATATCCAGTTCAGGTACTGTTACATCTTTCTGTTTTGACAGGCTTGTTTTCCATATTTCACTGTACAACATTACATTCAGAGTTATGGGTCTCCTGAAATTAGTTGCTAGGGGACTGGAGTAATTTCTAGATAAACCCATAGGATGTGTTTGGCTTAAGAAGCCTGAATGAAAATACTAAGTGTAAAGTATATGTTGCTTTTTAATATCTCATGTTTCACTTAAGCAAATATTTGGGTCATGATATTTGGAGAATAGTTTGGATGATTCTTACAATGGCTTTGTAATACAAAGGTGGAAGGACTGAAAGAATGGTTGATAATTCCTTTCTTCTCTCCACAGCTGGTTACTTGCAACTCCTGCAACAAAACAACAAGACATTACGGTAAAAGCAGGGATTTTCTGGCTACCAAGACACACAATTCTGGCACCCCAAGTATTAAATCTAGCCTGAGGACACCAGATGTAAAAATTCAGTCTGCAAACAAAGTGACACCGGGAAGCTGCAATAGGTGGGGATCTAAAGGAAACACTCCCTCGTCACTTCCCAGGTACAAAGAGGCACTTTGCTGAGTAGAGCGTATTACGGTATTACGTCTTGTTGGGAAAGGGCGTCAGGTACTGATTTCAGATCAGTCACTTAATAAACTTTAAATTGATAACTAAGTATTTTTCTTCAGTGGTCTGACTGAGGAGATGAATTTTAACTTTCCAGCCTTTAAAATCAAAGATTCTAATGAAAAGCGACTATGTGCGAAGAACGCACAATTATGCTTTTGTCATTAATGTGAAATGCCTGGCTTAAAATTTGCATACCAAACTTATACCTCTGGCTGCTCACTTTCACATGAAAATACACTATTGCGTTCAAAATTTTTCACTCAAATTATATATATGCACTTTCATAGTTACTTTATGTTAATTCTGATTCCTCACCTTTAAGACAAATAATTTGAGTCTTCTGTTTTTCAGAACATGTGTGTCCGGACAGGCGACAACCAGCTCTGCTTCCAAGACTCCCCGAAACTCCAAATTTCACTTTTCTAAGCTAAAACGGATGCTTAACCTAGAAGAAAAAGAGAAAAGCCAGAAGGCAGATTTGAAAACCTTCTTGACTTTACTTTAGTTATACATTATTTCCAAGTAATAAAGATTACAGCAATAAGTATTGTTCCAGTTTTAGTAAATCAACAAAGTGATGTCTTTAAAACTCAAGCTAACAGCATGTACCCTGTGAAAGCATCGACCGTATTTTTTAGAAGCAAGCTCTGTTTCTGAGGGGACTGGTTGTCCCCAAGAGGGAGATGAGAAAATAGCCACTCTAATATGCTTGGGAATCTTGAACGTGTTTTGCAGTCTCTAGTGGCCCAAGAATTAAAAGCCAGGATCTATCCTTTGAGGAAGCTGACAATACTGGATCTGTCAGAGGGTCCAGCAGGACTAACGGATAAGTTGGCAGACCTGGAAGCAATTTGGGGGTAGGGAGGCTGCAGTTTGCTCCACCTCACTCTCCCACTATTTTCAAGATAATGCATCACAACAGAATTTAAAAGGTCTCATCCCTGCTTTGCATGTTTGAGTAGAACAAAGACACTTTCACCATCGCTTTCTGCAGGTACGGTATTTTCAAGGGTCTCATGTAGTGTCCTGTAGTGTCGCTGTCTTTTGATACCTGTGGTAATTTAAGCACAGCCTTAAGCACAGCCTTTAACACAACCTTGACAAAGGTTCCAAAGTAAATTACTCTTTAAGACAGCACTCATATACAAAGAGAGATAAAACACTGTATCACCAGATTAAGCTTCTTCATTTTCTTAAGAATGTTGTGTGTGATTTGGGCTGCAGGTGATACTGGTCGCAGGATAACGCAGAACCTTGTAAAATTGCACTGTAATGTGGGATGCTCTCAGTAGCAACTGACAGCTCCGTGTTAGACTGCTCTGGGCGCCCTGATTTGTTACAGCTATGAGAATGGCACAGTCATAAAGAACACGGGATGCTGCTTTCCAGTTGCTCTGGTGCTACCAAAATGGGTCACTTTTGTCTCATTCAGAAATGAATAAGGAGAGAACCTCTTAAATGTTGCTCAGTTTTATCGAGCTTCAGAGTTGCTTCCTTCCCGGACTTCAATCTGGAAAACTAGGTTTGCCCTGGACAGTAGTCAACTTGTTGCACCAAAAAGTTTTGATGTGAATAGACAATTGTCAAGGTTAAAGCGGTCTCCACTTTCAGATTTTACGTTTTCAGTTCAGCACAGAGGTGAGAAAGGACAGTAGAAAGTCACCGTTCTGGACCAAGTTCATAGCCTGCCCTGCGTACAGTCTGCAGTTACAGTTCTGCAAATCGTGCTTCAGATTTCCCCTCTGAAAAGAGAATCAATCAGTTAAAAACATTTAAATTCTTGGGTTTAAAGGTCTGTATTTTCCTTTTTTTTTTTTTTTGTATTCTAATGAATATTTTCCCTTAAGTGTACTCAGAGTCAATGAACACTGCCTAAGAAATAGGACCAGCAAATCCGTTGGTAGGCTTGAAAGCAGTCCAGGGCAGGGGAGAACAGTTTGCTGCAAATTCTACTTACAGTCTCAAAGATTGTCATGTAACCTTTTTATATTTTCTGTACACTTGCAGAGTAACTTTGAAAGGTTCACTGCTGTTTGTTTCTTACGTACGTGTAGGATCAAATTAACTGTCATTCTTTGATCAAAATACGGACCTTGGAGTTACGCCTTTTTCCAATGTAGAACTTGGCATTAATTCAGCTGTTGTTGCTGTATTTATGGTCCAGTCCTCTGGAAAAATACTTCCATCATCTTGTTGATGGAAAATGTGCGTAATACAAAAGTATTTGAAAAACAAGTTTTGCAATAAATTTTTATATTAAAAGTACACACGTGAGGTACTCTACTGTTGTGCTTCCTAGGAGGCTTACGTGAAATCAGCATGGGCCTCTGCTATGTTTTAAGGTGCACCAGCATGAACGTGTTAGATCAGGAGTATGCTTTTGAAGCAGATCTCCCAATTGCCCCTGTTTACTTTGCTTTTTACCCAATACCGAGTGGTCTCAGAGTACGAGTCGCCTTCCTTTTGGATAAAACTACAGACAATGGATAAAAGACGTGGTCCGGGGCACAACCGACGTGCTGCGAACGCTAACGGGCAACCTATCCACAGGACGACAGGAGAGCTAGTCTGAAGTACGCATCTCCAAGAAGTGCAGTGTGGATGCCAGGCACTGAGCTTCAGGTATTCTGCACTCCAGGTGTATTCCTATTGCAATGTGCTATTTGTTAACGTAGAGAGAGTCTTGTCACGCTCCAAAAAATACATTTTTCTCTGTAATTACCAGAGTTGTCAGACATGTCCAAGCGTGTTGTTATAAGGGATCACTATTGCAAGCTATCAAACTTCGCTGTGGAAAAAAAGGAAAAAAAAATCATTCAGTATGCGCCATTCCTTGCTTTTCAAGCGTGCTTCAAAATGCTGGGCAGAAACAGTGTTGGTATTTTCTGTCATCTGAAGTGCTTTTATGTTATTCCTAAGCCTCTAATACAGGCTTTTTCTGTTACTGGACTGCCACAGAATCAGTGTATTTAAAAACATATATATAGACACACACATATGTACACACATATTTTTATATGTATTATACAAATATGTATGTACATATGTGTGTGTCTATATATATGTTTATATATACACACACATCCCTGATGCACTCTTCCCTTCAGAATACGCTACATTCCTGTACTCGACGAAACACTGAAGGTTAATTGTTGGCTGCAAGAGCCCACAGCTGAGCCTCCCCCAGACCTCTGCCATGCGGCGTCACTGGCTTGTGTTTGGGGGGGCGGGAAGGACAACTCTTCACAGAGGGGAAGCGGCCTCCCTGATGTCAGCAAGGGCAGAATTTCACTCAGACTTCGTAAAGCAAGACCAAGAAGGTTCTCTTAAGCGTGCAGCCCTGCGTACAGGTATTTGATTATAGAGCGAGAGTTATTTCCCAGCTCATACAAATTCTGCTTATGCAATGGTATGTATATCATCGACAGTAATAGCGTCATACTGCGCGTTGAAAATGCTACAAAGTGTGTCTTTATATAACCGGCTCAACTAAAGCATGTGTTATTTTGAAACATCAGCTTGAGCCATTTTCCCATTTTTGAGTGTTGGGAAGCTCAAGCTGGCATATTACAACTGGTTCCCTCACGCCCAGCCCCGCCTCTGAAGAAACGTACGCTTCGGCCAAACTACGTGGTGTATGAACAGTATTTCTGTTACAATTACAGAGAGTAATAAACTTCAAAATTAGTATTGACCATTTCGCCAGCATCACTGTGAGATTTTGGTTGACTCCTACGTAGAGGGAGCAGCTTACATTAAAGCCATTTCATATCATGAGACCGAGTAGGCAAGCAATAAAAATTGATTTCAAAGATGTTTTTACACAATGTTTTATTCTATTAAATATGAAAGAGCGTACATACAGGTGTTATTCTGAGGACATAAATTACACAAGGATTACACGTTCTGTCAGAAAAGCACAATAATGAAACATCTTTACATTTCAAACTTTTCTCATTAGCTTTTAACAAATGAGTCTATTTCTGTTGCAAACAAGTAACGAGTGCTATTGAACTTTTGCAAATTCCCACAAAAACATCATGCTTAGTAGGATACTTTAAATATTGTAAAGATGAAATCAGAATTAGATTTCTAAATAACAAGATGGAAGAGATTTACTACTTAATCAAGATAAATGACACACTGAAATAGGAGCCGAGACAAAATTGGTCATTCATTAAAAAAGAAATTCCACTTCAGACACTATATTTGAGTCTGCTTTCTTTACTTGCAGGAATAGTCACTGTGATTATATGCATGAATAATGAGCAGAACTGGCCCTAAATATTTATAAATGTAACTGTCAAATTTTAGACGTGCTGGTTTTCTAGTTCACTAATTTTTCCACCGAAAAAACCCACACCCATGAATCTATTTGCTTACGTTTCAAAAGGTTGAAATCCAGCTCTTCTGTAGAGGGCCCATCAAGCCTCTGTATGACCTCCATGTCTTCCACGGTCATCTGCATGGGGGCTACTGCATCCTACGTGTGTATTGTGGGTCATCACTGAAGTACCAGGCTGAGTTACCACTGACTTGTGAGAGCAGTATGAGTCTGTGGAAGTCCTAACACATTGTCTTTTTAAACTTCAGGTAAACAGGAATGTAATTTTATCCTAATGAAAGCTCTCGGTTCAACATTCAGAAGACTATTCAGATAAAATACATAATAAGCATGTAGTTTGGGTTGTGTTGCTAGGGATTGATTGAGATATTTTAATATATTAATACAAACATTAACAGAGTGAAACAGACTAGCTAATGTTACTGCAGGCTGTAGTTTAATTTTCAGAAGGAGTAATGATACACAATTTCTAAGAATGGTAATTTTTGTAACTAAGGACTTCACATTTATTTTTAAAACCATAGGAGTGGGGTAATATTCCTGATATCTTTCAAAACATTCTGCAAAAACACAGCTTGAGCCTGCAAACACTAGAGTATACAAGCAGCCCCAGTGACCTCCAAGGTAAGCATTCTCATATGGCAAAGAGCTGCAGGAATCTCTTTGCTTTTTTCAGAGAATGCCCAATAAAAGTGCAATATAGTGAAGCAAATAATCTAGTCATTATGCTTCTATTATTAGATGAAAAATGTTCAGATATTTTATAATTGTGCCTTTCGTAGGCTGGGCATTCTGGTTTGAGTAGAGTCAGACCACGTTAGAAGAGGTGGGCAGGGTACACCCACACATTTTCTTTCCCAGGGTGGCAACGCCCCAAAGCAGTTCCACTGTATAGTCCCAGCTACAGCTAAAACATTGTGCTGCCCAGCTTCGCATTGTTATTTCTGTTTTGACAAAAGCTGACATTTGTTTTGCTTTTCATTTCCACCCAGGCACGTTCTCCCTTTCAGCTCCTAGGCAGCCTTCCTTTCCCCACCCAGCCTCTTTTCTTCCTGAGATGTCAGAAGTACCTATGTTAAACTTTGGAACCTGAGAATTTGGAGGTATTTTTTGATACTACAGGGCTGCATTTGTATCGTACCATGTTATCTCCTGCTATACTATTACAATTACAATATAAATCTTCTAGCTAGTTGATA